ATCAAGTAATTTCAAAGACTATGGCCTGGATCAAGCACACCTTAGTCTCCAGACTGACGTCATTGCTCTTTGGTACTCTGGAGAGGTCCTTGACAGCCAACTTTCACTGACTCCACATCAAGAGTGTTGATTGTGGAGCCAAGCAAACTAAAGCTCAATCTCTTCACCCTCTATCATAATGCTACAATATAAAAATTGATATACTTTCTGAATTATAATTTATTGGAAAGGCACTACAAAGTTTTACTTGTTCTTGATAATAGTCTAATGGCATAAGCAAAACATTTTTTTTCCTCTCAAATATAATCCTATTTACAGCTACTTGGTATGAAACAGGTCTTTACATTTTTAAAATTAGTGGAGTTAATTTGCAATATACATTATTTTAAACTAGATTGTAAATAGGCCTAATTAACTTTAAATCAATCTAAAATTAATTTTATTTATAGAAACAAGCCAATGCACAATAAAATGGAATAATAAATTCACCAATTTTATTTGTTTCCATTAAAATGACACAAACTTATCTTTCTATTTTTAAAAGATCAAACATTGGCTACAATCACAAACATTTCAAAACTCACTAAAAATCAGAATAAAATTGACTTTCTTATGGATAGCATAATAAACCAGGGCATATAGATTATTTAAAAAAGTAAAAAAAATGCTATTAAGTATGCAACAGTAATCCTCAATACATTTTTAATAATACAGTAAGACAGAATATATTTACATCTTGTGAAAGAAAGATAAACTTTCATATATAGAAATGTTAATTATTTTATGCCACTAATAACTCCTATTTATTTTACTGTTATAAGATTTTCAAATGTTCTTTCCTGAATATTCTGGAATACACAAATATTTAACTCACTGATATTTTGTTTTTATTTTTAATTTGAATCACTGTTGAAAGATGTAATTATATGATAAAATACATGATTATATATATTTTGATATATGATATATATGATCATTTATATATATTATAAAGTGAAAGAAATAGTATGTTTTTAGCAATAACAATGTTTTTTTATGCTGATATACCATATGTATTACATATATATTTACAATCAAGATCATTTAATGTCCCTAAATATGGCATTAGAATGACTTACTTAAAATGTCTATATATGCAATAGAATCATACAATTTATTATTTAATCCATTTATACTGTTTTCAGAGCTCAAATGAAAGAATCTTTGCTTTGGACTTGCTGTGAATTTTTATTTAAATTGGCTAAAATAAAATCCTACTCAGGAATCATTGTTTCAAATCTGTTGTCCAGCGTACCTCATGTTTTTTGGAGTGTTGTCCAGGGCACGTGTGGTCCTAGTACAGGCCATGGAGGAATACCAGGGTGCAGGGGAGATTTCTGCACCTCCAACATCACGGATTGCCTGGCCTCCTCATACTTCAAATATAGCTGTTGCTTCCACCATGACAATCCACAAACAGTCCATGACTTTAAAAGAACCTAATCTTCAGTGATTGGGCTGAAGAATTCGGTTCAATTTCTCTCTGTATGGTTTCTAATTATATTTTAATGATAGAGACAACCTTTGGGTCTATAATTTAAAGCTGAGTGTCCAATTATGTTACAAAAATACAGGTCTTTAAGTCTGAAAAGAAAAACTTGAACCAATTGAGTTCTTTGACTTATGTAATATTGTATTAACGTTTACTTTTAAATATCAGTGGTCATGCATTCTAGCAACTGTAATAAGTCTGGAAATATATTGCATATTATTAGACTACATTGTCATTTTTCTGTCTTTAATACCACACCCTTTCCTCAGTCATGGTGCAGAACTTCTTTGATGATCAAAATTCTTAATGTAGGAAAAACTTATGGTATGAACTAAGTACTGTCAGTTATATTCTAAATTAAATATAATACAAAATCCTCGTACTTTTCACTTTAGAAAGTCCTTACGGTGCATATTTGTTGTTAGATGACTTCGGGTAAATATCTCAAGACAACCTTAGTATGTACTTATTATGTATTTTAAAATGACTCATCTTTTTAAAATACGTAATAATCCTCTTCATCAAAAGATATTAATACCCAACAGGCAATGACGCCAGTTATCCTTTCTGATGGATCACACAGAACCCCTTCACTCAGAGAAGTACATTACTGTGAGTTATCCTGTGGATGATGGAGCAAAAGTAAATCAATGATGCAATATACATATTCTTGACTATAAGCCTTCATGTAACTTCTCAAGTGTTCTCTTCAGTCAGGAAGAGCAAATCTTTCCAGAAAGTTTCCTTGTTTTTTAAATAGACAAATGGGACTTTTTCCATTTGAACGACTGCTATGAGACATATTCAGGTGCAATTTTTAGACACATAAAATTACATGAGCAACTTGATAGGTCAAGTTTGTTGACCTGAACCACAGAGAATAAGATTACATGCTTGGCTAGTGTGGAACTACCATGATACAAATCTTATATTTCTTCAAGTCTTTTTAAAGATAAATATCCTTATTTATCAACCTAGGTAGATAGATTTCATTATTATCTGACAAGAGATTCCCAGAAATAAAATTGACATTAAATTGTTTTACTAGGGATACACAAAATTGTTATTTTAGAACTGGATCTAGAAAAAAAAATGAGGTTTGTCTTTGTCACCATCTAAAGGGCTTTAGTTGTTAGAGTTTCAAAAAGAATGTATCAAAAGAATTAACCAAGTTATAGACAGATCACAAAACTGTACTGTGGATCAAATAATAAAGAGCTGATTATTTTATGGATCACATTGGACAGTGAGATTTAAAAGATTCATTTGTTATTTTGAGAAAGCAGAACTCTAAAACCTGAGTGTTTAATTTTTATAAAGTGTTCAGCCTTTTTTTTTTTAAGAGCATCTCAATGTACAAGTCAATGACCTGAGAATTTGGAAAGGAAGAATAAAGAGGAGTGAAGTTGATGGCTCCACTTTCTCTCAATGCCACTTAATCTTTGCTCTCTTATCTCCAAAAGGAGATACACATTTTCTTCTATCTAGAGCGTAGGCATTTACAATAATACTATTAAAGTCAAGCATCACTTTCTTTATGACATGCAAAATATTTAGGATGTAGTCTGAAACAATCAGAGTCTGAAAGAAGAAGGAATCAACTAAAAAGTTTGTATAAAACTAACTCTGAGTTCCACTAAGAAAACACAGTAACAATGACAGACTGTTATTATAAATTACCTCTGTTTAGAAATGAACAAAACTGCTATTCTTGGTTGGCTTCAATTTGTCTGCATTCCAAAGAGTCTGTCTGAAAACCATACCTGTTGCTGTGGAGTGAATTCTGACTAACAGCCACCCCATCATACTATGTAGAACAACGCTCCAGTTTCCAAAGTTGGCAAGCTCCCTTGGAACACATTGGTAGGTTTTAACTATTGGTCTTTTGCCCCAAACCCCTCAACTGCTGCACTGCCAGGGCTCGCAAAGAAGGCAAGTTCGCTCCTTAAATGAGAAAAGAGTCAGACTTAGTGGCCATTGACCATGCTTTCCCATAAATCAGCAGAGCTATATTTAAGTCATAGGATTTTATATCCCAGACACGAACTGAACCAATTTTAACTAATGAAAACGAGACAGGGAAAAGCTGAGCAATTCTGAAGATCCCAAGAGGATCATAAAAACAATTACCAGCACTTGCACTTTACAGTTTATGAAGTTCCTTTCATACATTTAGTTCCACTTCATTTAGTTCCCACAACAACCCTGCAAAGCAGGTAACCAACCCTACAAAAAGGTCAAGGAAACAGTGAATAACATGCAATGAATAACAAAGGCAGATCATGCCCTCTTTCCATTCCACCCACCCTCCCTCTCCTCAACTCTGAGACTGTTGGGTGGGAGAAGCAGAAGAAAAATGCTAAATCATTTTGTTCCATGAGAAGCAGATTTTATATTCTGCCTCTCTTATCTAGAAATATGTGTTCCCCAAACATGACCGCAATGTTAGCAACATATTTACAGCTCTGAGAGAATCTAAACACCTTAAATACTTTTGATTGTTCTACTAAAATCAAGTATTTCTCAATTTTATAACAGCATTGCAGTGGGAAGGAAAAAGATCCTATCAGTCACTCAACAGCATTTTCTGTTGGTAATAACTTTGTTCAAAGTTAAGTATCTTCGATTCGGAACCGACTCATAACTGACTCTCTAGCAGATTTTCTGAGGCAGTGAATTGCATTGGACGAGAGTGCCAATCTTTTCCCTATGAAGCAGTTGGTGGATTCAAACCCTTGCCTTTGGGTTGGCAGCTCAACTACGTATCACTAAGCCATGAGCTCTTCCTAACAATAGCTTTAGAAGTTAATAATGATGCTTTCCAAAGCCAATACAAGATGAAGAGCAATGGATGGCACTGCCAATTCCATTGCCACTTGTTTCAAAATTTTAAATTATTTCGAGCGTCTATGGAAGTTTTTGCTTTTACTCTGAACCAGTCACCTCCTTCTTAATATACCCCAGGGACTCATGTCTTCTCCAGTCCACCCATCCCATTTCTAGGCCACCATCTGAGGCCAGATTTTTCTGTTGCATAAATTGCTGTTATTGGGAGGAAACATAATTTCTCTGAAGTCTCTTTGAAAACCTTTCAAAGCTAAGGCTGATGATGAACTCATTTTGTTCAGAAACAGTGCCCTGATTTTAAATGACACTTTAAAATCAAACAAGCCTACTTACACCAGTATTTTTTTTTAAGAAAAAAAAAAAAAGAACCAACAATAAAATTAAAAAGCCTGGGTGATGGTAATTTTTCTTCTGGAAATATAGCTTCTTTTATATTTCTGGAAATTAGCTTTACAAATTTTAGGGTACTGCCTTTTTTTATTTACAGTTTATAAAAAGTAAATTATAGTTCTTGGTCATAGCAATGTGAAAATGCAACTGGAATGACAGTCTTGTACCAAATGAATAGGCTTACGCTTACAAAGTTCATTGCCTTTAGTGTTTTCAAATTATGTTTAGCTAGTGGGCTAGAAAGTCTGTCAAGAGTCTGTATAAACTAAGAGGCTCAGGTTGAAACAGGAATGAATTTGATGGACTTGGACGATTTAGGCGAGTCTCTCCAGGTGCCCATACTGTTTGTTGGGCTTCGATTGTTAGTGTAAGAAGTCTGTCTCCTACTCATGCTATCAGAATCTTCTTTGTTGAATTTCTGCTTCATGTTTCGGCAGCATGGGAAGCTTTGGATACAGTCTTGAAGGAGATGTCCGCTGAAAAACATGTATATCCAGGGATTGCAGCAACTATTCAAGGATGCCAGTAATGCCGTAATGGTGACGGCAGGGTTCTCTGAATCTGCATGGAAAACATAAGCAAGTTTAGTTTGTACCGTTCAATTCAAGGAACCGATCACTTGATACACTCATTTTACGATTGACTCATTGTCAGCTAGTTGGAACTGGTACTCAGGTGACCCACCATTGAGTTTCCAAAGCTGTAAATCACAAAGGGAATCCTATCTTTTTCCCCTTTGACAAGATGCTGGTGGGAGCTGTTGGTGGAGTCAAACCATCAGTGGGGTGCTGGTTTGGGTGAGAAGCACAACTCCCTATGCCACCAGACCAATGCATCAACCAAGGGAAGAATTAAAAAAATTAGGTTAATAGAGAATAGGCATTATTTTGTTTATTGATCAAGGAAATGAGTGGTGTATGGAAACTGACTTGGTTGTAAAATAGTATCATAAAGACAATGTCTTGAAATGAATCCATACATCTTAAACTACTACTAAAATGTTGAAATTTAAATCACAGGGAACACAAGAACTTTAGGGTTAGATTAAGAATATTAAATATCTTTTAAAATACCTTTATGTCTTTGTGCTCACACTAACATAATTTCTTGGCTACAACATTTAAGGAATAGCTGCGTTTTCAAGAAATCTGTAAACATGTATTATATTATCCTAACTACATAGAGAAAAGAATGGCACTGAGGGCTGGATCATGTTTAGTAGCTATTTTTTTAACATACTGACCATATTTTTGTAATATGAAAAATACTGAGCATAATCATTGAAGAACTGACATGTCATAGATCAATTGCAATTATATAAAACACAATGTATGAAACAACGTATACAAATTATTACAAATGTGAATGAGTCTATAAATCACAACGTAAATGGAATAAACATGATGTATATGAATGATAGTATGGAAATTAATTATAAAATAATTGAAATTTTTGACTGTTACAAGACTTAGTGTGTTTTTCTTCAATTAGAGATTTGGTGAGCTTTTTTTTAAAAAAAAAGCAATTGTTAAATGTGATTTAAAGATATAAAATCTAGTTTAAAGATTTAGACTATATTAAAAAGGATATCTACGTTAGCTTAATCCAACACAATTTTCAAATATTTTTCTATTAATTGGTCCTAGTCAAACAATATATTATTTAAGTTAATTGGCACTTAGTCAAGCAATATATTACCGTTCTCTCACTTCGGAACAATTTCACTGATAATATATTTTTTTTTCTAAAGATAAGATTTTTTTTTCTTCTGAAAGCAAAAAACTAGCAGGTACTGACCTTTCTATATCAACTAGAACCTTGGGTCTCCTCATTCTTATTAGGCCATAAATAACTAGAGGTGATTTAATCAGAGTTTGTGCTAAAATAGAAAATAAATTATGATCTATGATTAAGTCTATATCTAGAAATAATAGAGGAAATCATCACGACACTCTTAAACAAATGAGATAATTTTTTATTAATATTACCTAAATTCTTACAGACCAATGACTTAGATTGAATTTATCTTTTAATTGGCAATATTAAGAAACTGCTTAAAATACAGCAATAGGGAATGGCTAACCAACAATAAAGCAAATGTGTTTATGTTGCACTTTTCATAGTGTATAGAAATAATATAGCCATGCAAGGATATTTATCCATTTAAATGAAATTCACACTCATATGATTTACTGAATATATAACTTCCAAAGTATATAACACTTAACCACCCTACACTCTATCCTAATATAAAGTAACAAAAGGAAATAACCTGTTGGACACCTATTTCCCAAATACAGTTATTATTCACAGTATTCCTATTATTTATTTGAAAAAATTCTTATTAAAATGAATTTTTTTTTAACATTAAAGGATACTTTTCTTTTGTCGGGTAGGGGGATAAAATCTGTTACATTAGTTTTTCTAGTTTGTAATGTGATTAAAAATAAAGAGCTGTATGCAGAGGTGGTATCTGTGGTCATATTAGTGAATAAAGACTAACAATTTTTTTAAAAAATATTAGCGTGTATCAGGAATTCTTTTAAAATTAGTGAAAAAGAAAGAAGCTTACCTAGGTTAACTAAAAAATGGAACATCAGCAAAATGCCAAGTTAGACTTCTTAATTTTGCCTTCTGCTTTTCTCAGAAATCTGTCTTCTAACCCTTTAACATCTTTAAACCCTTATCAGCTAGCTATTAGTCAGTTCCTTAGTCATTTCCAGCTGGATGGCAATGAGCTTTTATCTATCGTTTGGGCATCTCTGTAAAGCTTTCATGTTGATTGTAACACTTTCACAATTCTGACAAAAAGCAGTTGTCACAGGACAAATATTTTTCAGTATCCAATAGCCTTCCAGACAAGACATTAGCATGGCAGTGACAAACCAATCCTTCTGTTTTCAACTGGCTCTGGGGTACAATTTTCTGGGATTGTAGTTTCAGGATCGGTGGGTGCACATTTCTGGGCCTCTACTTTATCAGAAGTTGGAGACAGAAGGAATTTGCAACTTTGAGTTTCCTGAAATGATTCTTAGGCACTTGGACATTGTAAAGTACTAAAGTACTGCCTTGATGAATAAAAAGATATCCTATTCACACACATTCTCATTCTCTCTCTCAGTCTCTCTCTCTCTCTCTCTCTCTCTCTCTCTCTCTCTCTCTCTCTCTCATTCACTCACTCATGGCTTCATCATTGTTTGGGTACCTACCAACCCAGGAGGACTCCTCATCCCAGACAGACCACATCTGGATGATGAAGAAGGGCGCCCAGCAGACGATGTAAGCCGTCACAATCACGAAGGTCATCTTCACTGTGCGGATTTTGGCTCGGGAAATGGTCTTCACGCTGCTGACACAGGGAGCGAGCAGGAGCCCTTTGTGGAAAGCCCTGCTGGCCACCTCGGCGCCCTTGTCTTTGTGCGACGCTGTCTTCCCACGGACGTTGCGCCAGATGTGGTAGCAGATGAAGCCATAGCAGGTCCCCAAGATGATCACAGGCGCCACAAAGATGCCGCCTGTCATCCAGGTCACATAGGCGCGGGGCCCCCAGGGCTGGATGAAGGTGGCCCAGCAGTCATAGGCCTTGGTGACGTTGTTCACCTCGATCATAGAGAAGATGAAGTACTGCGGCGTGCTCAGCACGAAGCTCAGCGCCCAGGCGGCCGCGATCATGAGGCGCGAGCGGCGCGCCGGCTGCTGCAGCGTCTTGAGCGGGTGGCACACGGCGATGTAGCGGTCGGCGGTCATGACCACCAGCATGTAAGCCGAGGCGAACATGCCCAGCACCTGCAGGTGCTTGACCACGCGGCACAGCCCGTCGGGGCCGCGGAAGCGGTAGGTGATGTCCCAGCACAGCTGTGGCAGCACCTGGAAGAAGGCGACTGCCAGATCCGCCAGGCTGAGGTGGCGGATGAAGAGATGCATGCGGGACGTTTTGCGCGGCGTGCGGTGCAGCGCCAGCAGCACGCTGCTGTTGCCCAGGACGGCCACCACGAAAGTCACAGCCAGCACGGCGATCTCCAGCTTGGCCAGCTCCTCGTTCCGCACATCCGCCTCCTGCCCGCCACCTTCCCTGGGCGCTTCGCTCTCCCTGCTCTTGTTGGTCCCACCGGCTGCCAGAGGCCACCAAGAGCTCGAATTGCCCTCCTCCCCAGAGTCTCTGGAGAAACTCATGGTGTCGGTGCAATGCCTCCGGGCTCGTTGGCGGAGGCTCCCGGCGGGGCTCCCTTCCTGCCGCCCGGTGCTGCTCCCTGCCTGCCCCGTGCGCTCTCCAGGCGGCTCCCGCGCTTCACCGGGCTCCACGCTCCCTTCCGCGGGCGTCTCAGGGCGCGAGTCTCACCACACGCGTCTCACCGACCACACAGCCGCTCTCGGTCTCCGCTGCTCTTCCACTCTTGCTCTTTCAACTCGTGGGAAGCCAGGAGGTGCGCTCTGAGCAGAAAGCGCAAGGTTCAGAACTCAATTACTTAGGCGGAGTTTGTTTCCCTGGAACACGCTCGCTCTGGCCCCAGTGGCTGGAGACTGCTGGTGCGGACTCCCCACTCCACACCCCCTGGGCTCATCAACCCCTCCTCGTGTCGGCAATTCGCCCTCTTTGCATCACAGCTGCAGGAAGGGGCGGGGGTGGTGGTGAGGGGGACGGGACTCGATTTCTCTTGCATAATATGCGGAACTCTGGCAATTTCCCGTGCTTCCCTTACAGAAACTTGGAGAACTGGGAGAGTCAAAGCTATTTCAGACTAGGACGTGCTGCCCTAATTCGCCAGGACCTCCCCACTAGCTATTTTATTTAGTGCTGACTTCAAGAGGTTCAGTATGTGTTGTAGCTTGAAATGCTAAGTCTGCAGATCCATTGGCTTTTAGGCACCTGAACTTGGCCCCCACCTCACCTCGGCCAGCAGCGGATTCTCAGGGGGCGATCTCTTCGCTGGGCGGTCAATGTGTGGCTCATTTTACTTCCTAAGCAGATGTGCTCCCTAGTGGGTACAAACCTCCTCCCCTGCCTCCCATCCTTCCCTCCAGGACAACACAAGGTGACTTAGAAGGAACTCTCTTCCTTGTAAAAGTACCTCAAATCAATTCTGACTCAGTTACCCTATTAGGAGTCCTGGTGGTGCAGTGGTTAAGAGCTTTGTTAAGCTAAAGCTTGTGATAGGAATCAACCAGGCAGGAGAGAAAGACATGGGCTTAGCTTTCCCAGATTTACTGCTCTGGAAACCCTGCTGGGCAGTCCACTGTAGAGATCAGCTGTAGAGTTGCTAAGCATTGGATGGAATCCAAAGCAGTGAGTTCAAGGTTTTTACCAAATCTGACTGGCACATCTTTCTTCACAGACAGGCTATTGATCATGAACTAGGTTAGTGTCCCAGCCCTTAACCATTGAGCCACCAGGTCCTTAGGGATCAGTAGAGACAAATTTAATTATTTGGGCAGGATTTCTTTCTTGTGGGTTTGAAGAAGAAAAGGGCAAGCTCACTAGTCACACTGCGGTCCTCCTGCCAACCCCACCCCCTCACCCTCTTGTGCTTATATCTACAACAGGGAAAAGAAACATCTCTGGGTTCCCACTGGGGCCTAGTACTTGACATTTTCTCTAAACTAGATTCCGGGGGTCCCCTTTGTGAAAACTTGTTTCCCACAGCGCAGGTGGTGGGAATAGGGCCGTCCATTGGGCAAGAGACTTCACTTAGTTATGACTCATACGTTAGGACATCTTTTTAGACGGACAGAACTCCCATCTGACAGGGGTCACCAAAGAGTAGGGCAAGAGCAAGAAGTCACCCCACTCCTGCACTTCACAGGTGAGAACCAGGAAATCCTGGGAGGCAGGAGAGAAGCCCAGGTGGGATGGGGAGCTAAACAATGTACCTATTGGTAGTGGGATTGTTGTTTTTGTCTGTTTTTCCCCCCCTACTAGTTTATTTACAAAACTCGAATGCAAATTCAAACAAACTCTTTCAATTTCCCTCACCACCCCAAGATCAAATTGTACAACCCAATGATTAATCCCCTCTTCCTCCTGTACATCCACATCCCTCTGCTTCCAGTCTCTCCCACCTCTCCTGGATCCTTATACTCATTCTGCAATAACGGTTTTATACAATATTTATCCTTGTGGGACTGAGGTAGTTCATAGTGCTCTCCATTCCCTCCCAAGTTAGGTAATAATTTACAAAGTTATTGCTCCTGCATGCTGCATTGTGTAAATGTACCATAATTTCTCAATCCATTCATTTGTACTTGGACTTTTGGGCTGTTTTGTTTGATTACTTTGATCAGCTGGAGCTCAGCCACCTTGTCAGGGAGACAAAAATACTGACTTCCCTCAATTGAGAATTTTAACATCCATAAAGAGATTTATTTTTTCAATGAACAGCAAGAGGGAGCTATTTTCAGGGAAAAGGAAAAGCATCCTCAAACCACTTTATTTGATTATTTCATCTGTGCAGAGACACAACCATGATTTCATTGTTCAAAACATAACATTTATTGCAGCTCTAGCATGTATTTGCTTCAGAAAATTATCACCCTGTGTAAAATGTAGGCAAAGAAACAAAACAAAACAAATTCCTGAGGGATAGTTGTCAGTGAAAACTAACATTGTTTCCTAGTTCATTCACACTTGTGGGCTAAGAATGCAGATTTCCATATAGGAATAGCTCGTACAAGCTGGGTTTAGAGGAGGCTGTGGCACTAGGGATATCTTTGCTGATGTTAAAAGGATCTTGGCTAAAAACAGAGACGATCAGGATGTCTATTTGTGTTTTATCAACCATGCAAAGGCATTTGACTGTGTAGGTCACAATAAATTGTGGCTAACCTTAAGAAACAAGAGAGACTCAGAACACTTGATTATGGTCTTAAGAAACCTATACTGTTTGTCTGAACAGAGCAAGGGAACACTGCATGGTTCAAAATTGAGGAAGAAGTGCATCAGGGATGTATCCTTTCTTCGTATCTTTTCAATCTATGTGTTGAAAAGACCATTGGAGAGGCTGAACTTCAGGGAGACGAATGCAGCATCAGGATAGCGGGCCCACTCATCAACAACCTGTGTTATGCAGATGACACAGCCTTGCTCTTCAAAACTGAGGAGGACTTGGAGGGACTGCTACAGAAGATCAAGGTCTGCAGGCCTTCAGTATGGATTGTACCTTAGCACCAGGAAAACAAACTTCTTTACCATTGGGCCAGTACGTAGCATCATGAGAAATGAAGAAAAGATTGAAATTGTTAATGATTTCAGGTCCAGAGACTCTTAGGACCAGAAGTCTGGAAATTTAAAAAACCAAGTTGTATTCAGAAAATCTGCTGTCAAGGATCTCTCCAGAGTGCTAAAGAGTAACAGTGTCAGTCTAGAGACTAAGATGCACCTGATCCAGGCCATGGTCTTCTCAATTGCTTGCTAGGCATCAGAGAGCTGCACAATGAAAAAGAATAAGAGAAGAAAAATTAATGCCTTTGAGTTGTGGTACTGAAGAAGAGTATTGGACCTATCTATTACGGACTGCCAAGAAAACAAACAGGTCTGTTTTGAGAGGGTGAAACCAGGTTGCCTGTTGGAGACAAGGATTTTGAAACTCTGTATCACATACTTTGAGTATGTTGCCAAGAGAGGCTAGTCTTTGGAGAAAGACATAATGCTTAGAAGGGTGAAGGGACAGAGCAAGAGATGAAGATGCTGGATGAGACGGATTAACACAGTGAGTGTAGCAATGAGGTCAAGTCAGAGAGGATGAGATTGGCTCAAGACTGGAAAAAATTCAGAGCCATTGTTCATAAGGTTGGTATAAGTCATTAGCTTGATGGCACTTGATAACAATAACATAACAATGAGCTGCTTCATTGCAGCTTTGGAATATTGTTATTGCTATGCCATTGAGTCAACTACAAATAGAGACAATATCCTTATGATCTTCATCCATGAGCTTATCATTACAGTCACCATATTAATTTATCTAGTTGAGATTTTCTTCTCTTTTGCCGACTCTCAACTTTTCCTAGCATGCTGTCTTTTTTTCAAAGACTGCCTACTCCTGACAACATACCCAAAGTATTTGAGACAAAGTTTCACCATCCTTGACTCCAAGAAGCACCTTAGTTCCACTTTCTTCAGACAGACCTGTTTGTTCTTTTATTCAGTACTCTTCTCCAACACCACAATTCAAAGGCTTCAATTCTTCTTTGAGTTTTCTTAGTCATTGTCTAACTTTCAGATGTTTAGGGAATAATTGAAAAGAACATGACTTGGATCAAGCAAACCTTAGTCTTTAAACCAACATCATTGCTCTTGAAGATTTTGAAGTTCTTGACGGGAAATTTGGCCAAACCAACATGTCTTTTTAATTCCTGATGGCTGCTCTCTTGGATATTGATTTCTTTGGTATTATATATTGGTCCTGTGATGAGATTTTTTGTTTACTTGATGTTGAAATGTAATCCGTACTGAAGGTTGTAGCCTTTGGTCTCTGTAGTAAGTGCTTCAAATCATCTTCACTTTCAGAAAGGATGATTTGTCATTTGCCTAGTGCAAGTTGTTGATGAGATTTCCTCCAATCCTGATGTCATGTTGTTCTTCACATAGTTCAGCTTCACAAATTATTTACTTAGTATACAGACTGAAGCTTCGTCTGACATACTTTGGTCTTGTTGCAAGGTAGGACCCATCCTTGGAGAGGGATGTGTGGACGGATGCTTGGGAGTGTGGAAGGACAGCACAGGAGAGAAAGACCCTCGATGAGGTGGATTGATTCAGTGACTGAGGTAATGGGGGTAGTTGTGTCAGAAACAATAAGATTGTCACAGGATAGAGCAGGGTTTAGGGCTGTTGTACATAGGGTCATTATGAGTATCAGGTGACTCGATGTCACATAAAAACAACAACATACAGATTGAAGAGATATGGAGAAAGGATATAATTCTAACATAGAACCTCCCTGATCTTAAACCATGAATATTTCCTTATTCTGTTTAGATAATAGCTTCTTGGTCTATGTGTATCTTTTACACAATTAAATGTTTCAAAATTCCAATTCTTCTAAGTTAGCCATAATTTATTATGATCCACATAGTTAAATGTCTTTGCATAGTCAATAAAACACAGTATATATCTTTTTGATATTTATGATTCATCTTAAATTAACAATGATATCCTTCTTACTACGGTTTCTTCTGAATCCACATTGAA